TTTGTGTGTGTGTGTTTGAAATTAAATTTGCTTTTGTCTCAATTTGTATCAATTACAGAGGTTGCCTTGGTATTGGATGGCCATTGAATCCATGGAGAACGGAGAGTTTACATCAAAGTCAGATGTGTAAGGAGATTTATGATCAGTCAATTCAACTTGATGAATAGATAAATAAACGGTTGATTAAAATGTAGCAGTAATGTCATATTTCTTTCTATCTGTAATAAAGGAAACCGGTTAAAATTTCTAGGTCCGAGGAAGTATTTTCATTATAATCCTGACGTACAGCATTGTTTAGAGTTTTACATAGGCCTTACTCCGTATTCAATGCATACAATTGTAAAAATTTCAGTTGGGCTTTTGGTATCCTATTGTGGGAGATTGGCGCGCTAGGATCTCTGCCGTATCCGGGGGTTGATCCGGTGGACCTACTTGTTCTGTTAAACAAGGGATACCGGATGCAAAAACCGATTTGCACATCAAATGTACGCTTTTATTGAACTATAGATGTCATGTCCTGTGCATTTTGAACTGTTATATAAATTTATAATTTTACCATTCTTTTTCCAAAATGCGAAACGTAGATTGTACCAGATATAATACAAATTTAACCTTGTACTCTACCTGTGACATTTTCATTGTCTAAAGGGGAAGAAACGATTTTTTAGGTACAGATTTTTTAAATTTTGTAACATCATAGTACTTGTGTTACAACATCAGAATCAGAATTGTGAATATTTACTTTGACGTCTAAATAAGCGACAGGAATTTGCAATTGCAGTTTTTCATTGTCACTGATACTTCCCATGCAATGTTTGTCTACAGGAATGGTTCGCAATTATGATGGAGTGCTGGGGAAAAAATCCAGACGGAAGACCAGCATTTAGCAGCCTTTATCATCATTTCAAAGAAATGCATTCATCCAAAAAAGTAAGCTTACTATAGTATACAAACTTATAAAACATATATAAAAAATGCTTAAAAGAACATTAGCCTCTCACAGGTGTTTTTAACCCAAAATTAAAAACCCCAAAAGAAAATATGAACAAATGACGTGCAAGTGCCCTATGGAACATTAGACTAAATTGTGAAAAAAGGTTTCAAGGGAAATTTCAATATTCACCCACAATAAACTTAGGTGCATGGAAACAACAGCAACCATCGTTTTAAGATTTATTCTTTTTCAGGGATTTCCGTATCTGCCTATGAGTTCTCCGCAACAGATTGAAAACTCTTACCTTACCATTTTGCCAGAGTGAATAGTCTCCAAAATGGAGGAGTCACGCAAAATTTGATGTAACGTGACTGATATAATTAAAAAAAAACATTCAAAAAATAATTGCAAAATAATGCAATACTAATTTTTTTATTATGTGTAAAAAGTATATAATTGCATGGCAAATAATGAATGATCTATAAATACATATTAAATTATGTACATGTATAAACATACTGTATTTCAATATTTAATACCCCATGAGCAAATTAATCCAATAATTAGCAATATATCTTATTATTGTTTTGAATTAATTGTACAGAAATAGGTGGGCACAGTATAAAAATACCTGGTGACGTCACTTGTATGCATGTGCTATTGTATTAAGATAAAACTGAATTATCACTAATTGTGTTTTGCTTTAAAGAGCCAGATTAATTTTGCTTTTTTCCCTACACTGTGGTCCCTCGATTTGCTCGGGGTCGGATGGGGGGAGGGGGGGGGGGGCGAAGAGAAAGGCTATGAAGATGGCATACATTTCTTCACTATAAAGAAGAAAATTTTTTGTTTAGAAATAACTTGGATCAATGAACCTGCATTCGTTTTGCATAGGAATGTGATCTTACACAGTACCCGCCCTATACCTCATCAAGCTTTCAGTCCGGTCTCAAATCGCGATATCCATTAACATGATTGATATTATTTTAAAAACCCATTTAGGTGGCTATACAATACAATGCAATGCAATACAATACAAAGATGGGTCGTTCCTCCAAGGGAAAGTGTATTCAGTGTGACGGTCTTTAAAAAGTCGATTATGTGTCACTTGTATTGTGTTTACAAGGCGAAGGTTGCTGAAAACATCCGAGAGAGGTCTACCATTGCGCTAGGTGTGCATTAAAGGCTACTTCTTTATTAAGACGTTTTTATTAAGACCGGGAAGTGCCTTCACTACCTATAAGACTTGTATTTCAACTAAAAAACTTTCTTTCTGACTTTATTATAGTTCAACTAAGCATTATGCCTTATTGCTTAATTTTGTGGCAATATGGCAAGTCACCTTACAAAGAAAATTGCGCTCGAACGTATAATACGGTATAAATTATCCCATGTAATTACTAGTATGTAAGTGGCTTTAAGGAACATAAGTTGTCTTTATGCTTATCGTTCATGCGCAAGCGACGTCGAAGACAACTGTTTTCTAACAGCCAACACCATTTGTTTCCTCTCAACTTTACCCTCTTAGCTGTGTCTAAATCATGTAAATCTAACATTCACGTTGCACGTCGCCCGCGCGTGCCGTCACCTCACACCGTCAGCGACACAACTGATATCAACTAATAAAGTTCAGATATATATCATCCGTAGGTAACAGAAATTTCAGTGCTGCACTGATTTTGAAAAATAAGGAAGTTTCCTGGTTCTTGACTATTAAATTTATGATTTAAAAGAGTGTTTGGAAAGGACCCTGGTTTTGCTTTTATAAGTCGTCTTATCTTCTTATTGATTACTTATTGAGTGTTGTTACACAGAAGTGAAATTAAGTTGAAAGATAAATCGCTGCCTATCAAAGACCTGCTGCAGAAACTTGCCTATTTAAAGGGGCGTTTACACGACCCGTTTTTACAGTTGTCTCCAGTTCCGACTTGTTTCGACTTATGAACAACTCTATGAACATGGATAGTTGTCTTCGGAGTGTCAAAGATCTGCTGTTGCTGATGACCTTTCTAGTTTTAGTCCTCGGGACTTTCGTCGCCGGAGGGGAAGAAATGTCTTCTTTGTCAAACTCTCCATTAGCAGTTTGTGCCGTCAGACCTGGAGGCAATTTTAGTGCGGCTGAGAATCAGGTGAGTAGAATGATATATTTTGTCCGTGTGGTAAGATCATCGTGTGGTATTTAGTAAGATCATGTCGTCGTTCCAAGAAGTGCTGATACGATGATGCCTTATATAGGCCTACTGCACAATAAGTCTCAGATGAATCACTTCTTAGCGGTACCCCGAGGTTCAGAGTATGACACTAAGAGAACATGAAACCGTTATTTCGTTCAGAAAAATCTTTATAATTATGCAGCTAACCCTGATTATTCTATATCATCACATGCCAGTTTTACACATTGTCAAAATGTGCTATTTTAAAAGTGAAATGAAAGAGTAGGTCCTATGTCACACAAAGTACATCTATCATACTAAGTACATGTATTTTTTAATGTGTCTGAAAGTTAAAAGTAATTAACCTTATCCTCCAGAATACACTGAACCTTACTGTGACCAAGCTTCCTAGCAACACGTTCCAGTTCAAAGAGTGGGTTGTCATCAAACAAAATTGTAAGGATGTACGGCTTGTCCGTTTTCATATATATTCATTTAAATAAATAAAACCATGAAATGTATCGTAAGCAACGCAATTTTAAGTCCACACACTTGAATATTAAACTCTACAGAATTAATTTAAATTTAAATTATTGTTTTTCTTTTTATTTAAATGAAACTCTTCTCTCATCTACAGAATTAGTAAATGATTTTTCCTCTTAGAATTAAGTCAGAACAAAACAACATTTTCTTGTCGAAAACAGTACAATAGGAGGGTTTATGATGCACCCCAGTATATCATTATTTTTGCTTATTTCAGGCTCTATGGTCGTATACATACAAGCTGCACTATACATCCCCGTTGATCCCTCTTTAGCACATGGACTCTGTGGTTACGCTTCCCCCAGTCTCCAAGGCCATCTTCCATTTCCATTTCAATTACTTAAGGGAGGCCCAGTTAGCCCACCTGAAGATGCACTGGCCTATCCGTTCCCTGTGAGTTTGTGGGGGTCAGGAAACTCAATCTTTGAAATATCAGTTCCCATGTTTGGAGTCAACACACCAGTGAACTGCTCCATAACATTCGGGTTTTCATCTTTTGAGGCGGCATTTACTATTAACGTTCTAGGTGAGTACGTTCTAAGGGGCAGACCGTGTTCGTTGAACCGACTAATTTGGGTGTCCGATAAGGATTGTTTGGGGAGTCCCCTACCCTGTAATTATCATACGGCCTCTATTGTTCGACCATATGGGGCAGGGTTGGGAAACCATACGGCCATTTGGTAAAGGGACATTCCGGCGGCACTGTAGATGTTCGAAAATTAAAAGCTATCTTCAGATTATTGCTTTAGTGAAGAACAGGGACACAGTTGATATACTTATTTCTTTTTTTATGAAATTCGGTATCAATTAGGAGTGCCTTTTTTCTTTTTCATTAACTGTGAATTTTTATCAGTACGAATTTTGTGGGTGAAATGATGTTTTTATACACAGTAAATATACATTTACATGTATGTATGCAAAATAATGTTCTAAATATTGTATATTGTTTAGTCTAGTTTAGTCGATGCTATTTCACGATTGCCTGCAATAAATGATTCTAAATGAGTGGACTCTGTGTGTAATATTTTTTGAGCAACGGGTAAAACCCGAAAACGTGTATCAGTACAAAAGATGCTTACATGACACAAAATTAATTAGAGAAGGCTTTGGTGGAATAAATGTCGCTTATCCGGTAATTTGATAAACTTTCAACACTGATAGGGTGTCCTGAGAACAAATACGGAAGATACTGCAACAAGAATTGTCCTCGGTGCAGTATCGGTGGTTATTGTCATACATTCTACGGAGGTTGTGTGTGTCTCAAGGGATGGAGTGGCGCAACATGTGACAGAGGTCTATTGATTTTTTCATTGCATTTCCTGTTCCTTTTCTTTAATTTTTTTAGTAGACGGTCCTTGTAAAGAAAATAACAATTCTTCATTGCATTGCGACTTAATTTATCATCATATTTAACCACTAACTATATTTTATATAGCAATGCGACTTAATTAGATTGTTAATTATTGTTGTTAATTCAAAACTTTTTGATAAGGTCGAACAAATATCCTAGAGATTTCAAGTTTTACTTCTACTTTCATAACGGTATTTATTATCTGAATTCAGTGACGCCAATGTTAGAGATCAGTTCTTCGGCAAATGGTGCTGTTAAACGGAACGAAAGTGTCCAATTTGATTGTGATATTTTCCCATCTTCTCTGGAGACCAATACAACCATCAGATGGTTGATGAACAACCAAAAGATATCAGACGTTACAGACGTTATTCATAAAACGAGCAACAGGTACGCCTTTTCGAATGTTGTAATAGTACATATCCCTTACTTTTCTGCATTCTTACTATTGATGAAATTTTATGCTCATTGAAAGCTTAACTACTTATCTGGAATTTTGAAAAATGAGAAGTCGAATATGCTGTAATCTAAACATTAATATTTAATTTTCAGGTCTATAATTTTTTCGAAAGGAATACACACAATAGGAGATCAGAATGTCACATGCATCGCTTTAACTGCTTCTGGACAGATATTGTCTAAAACATACGCTTATTACGTAGAAGGTAAAGCTGCGTGAATACGAAAAAAATTCAAATAGACTATTTTTGTATTTGCAAGAACAATAATTATTATATACACACCAAATTACCGGAAAAAAAGACCGACAGCTTAATTTTCAATGGCGGATTTAATTTTGTAGATCATCAGGGGGAGGGGGTAGATTATTCTGTTGCCAGGAGCTTTATTTTCACATTCGTGATGTCAAACAGCACAGATTTGATGGTTGTTCATTGGTGAAGTGTCTGACAATAAACACTTGATTGTTACCTTTTCTGTTATAAGTCTATATATAAACATTTCGTTTACATTGAATTATAAATGGATTGAGTCTTTGTCGTACAATTGTAAAATTCTCTTTTGTACCTCCTTTAATTGAGCCCATTATATATGTATATATTCCATTCAAGATTATAACACTGAGACTGGAATAATGACAACTGCAGCAATGGCAACATTTATTGGTGGAGGTCAACAAATTAATAACGCACTCATCACAGTTGCAGTCATCTCATTGGTCGTGCTGATTGTAGTCATCATCATTACTGCTCTTTTAACTCACAAGATGCGGGACTCGACTAAAAGAAAATTCACGCCATCAGATATGTACGCTGAATACCACACATACTTACAGGTATCAATTTTGAGATAGTTCTGAATGTTCTGTTTGCGACAGTGAAATTTGATTGATATCGTCTTTCCACCTTATTACAATACGCCAAAGAGTTTATTCTGATTGCATGTGGAGTGTCATTTCTACTTTGCCCATCTTTATAAAGCACATTAAAATGAATTTCTTTCAAAGAATATTGTATTTGCATCTGCAAAAAATAAAAAATAACGATATTAGAAAAACAAAAAAGGGCATTACGGTGGAAAGAGAGGAAACATTTGAAGGGAAGTAGGACGTGGATATAGCTACACTGCAGTGGCGGATTTAGAGGGGGGTCAGGGGGGTCCTGACCCCAACTTCGATTTCTGATCCCCTCTTGTAATTAAAATTTTGACTAGCTGAATCATAGTTCTAAGCCGTACAAAATGGCACCGTTCGCCATCTTTAATACCAAAAATTTCGGGGCTCTTCAGCGGGCCCCAAACCCCACCACAAAAGGGGTGGGGGTCGGCTTCGCATCTGCGAACCCCCCTTCAAATAATCCTTGATCCTGTATGACTGTTTGACTTTAATCATCTTATTCATTTTTCCATTTTCAGAATATTTTCATAGGTGTTGAAGATAATTCGTTCTTGGATAACCAAGAGTACCTTCTTCAAAAATGGAAGGTGCCAAACAACGAACTATTTATGGGCGAAATACTCGGCGAAGGGGAATTCTCCCAAGTATACAATGCTCGCATTGAATGGAAGCAGAATCAAATACTGAACGTGGCTGTAAAAATGCTGAAAGGTGAGTATTCTTGACAATAGTGCTTATGGTCTCTTCAAGTATGGAGATTGTGTTTCCTCGGAATACTAGCTATTTAAATGCAAGGGAACCCCCAGAAATACCTTATTTTATTGTATTTCTCGTGGTACAATGTACCCATTGTCTTAAAAAAAAAGATGAATTGTAACAGCTTAAGCATTTTAAGAAATTTTTATTCTTTGAAGTATAAAGAGATTATCAGGAGAGAACAAATTATCATTTATATTGTAGGATTCTGATTTATTTAAAGATTTTAATAGTTTCCCAAACAGCAATTTTTAAATACAATCTCTTTGTCTCTCACGCACGCATGCAAAGACATACACATACACGTTCATGTACAATGTTCAAGAACGTTGAACTCCCAAGACGTACGTACATGTACGTTGTGTATATTGATAATGCTGGCATTTTGTCTCTTTTAGACCAATAAACTTAATATATGCACATACAGTGTACATGCGGTGCCTTTATATCTTGGCTTTCTTCGTTCCAAATGTGCTCATGAAAAATAGCATAGGTACTGACCTTATGATGTGCCGAGTTAGTTGTGCATCGAAAAACTCACCAAATCGGGGTGAGATGTTTTGTGAAAAAGAAACAACATACCAGAATCATCAACCTACTCAGCGTACCGCCGTCCTAGAAGTTCAACCCCCTTGCTCATGGATGGTTAAAATTGCTCTCGTTGAGAAGTTTTGATTAAAGTTGGTCACTGAGCTGATTACTGATGAATAGTATATAAGACGAAAAGTACACTTTTGGCAGTTTTATAAACATGGATTACATAGAACTTAAATAGAGACACGGAAGATTAAATATGATTATAAACCGATATCATTTGTTACCTGTTTTTATTCTGCAATAAATCACATCCTCAACGAGGAAGCACGACGCTGTAGTTGAGATAAGAGGCTCGAATTCGTGAACTAACGACTCCTTTTGATCAAGTGCAGAAGTTGTTTTCCTGGTAGGAAAAGATGGAGCTTGTGAAAGTCACTTCGATTTGATTGGTTGATTTCTCAATAGATTTGCAAGTTTCTGGCACGTGCTAAACACATGCAAACTAAGGGTGGATATGGTCCAAGCATGAGTAATTCAAATAATATTTAAATATTTTAAATTGAAAACAAGTCTTCTAGAAATTACTTAATAAGGAAATATTGAATGGTTGGATGCAACGTGAGAATGGAAAATTCCACAAGACAATGGAGAGAAAACAATGTGTGATCGGTATCAGAGTAATACAGTATGAATAATTGTGAATTTGCATGAGAGAGTCAGTGAATAAATGTATGAAGCTCTAGATCGTCATTATTGTCACTATAACAAATCTTTACTTCCCTGGCCAGTATCTGCCTTCTTGTAAAAGAGAGAGGAAAAATGATACGTAGGCTGGTGTTTTAGAGTGCATTCCCATAGATTTAGATCGATCTATCCGGATCGACCTAACTCCCTGGAGGTCCACGCTAAATTGCAGTCAGCCTAGCGCGCACGACAGTTAATTACCCCCTTACAGCTTTTAGTAGGCGGGACAGGCGCTTAAGCCGGCTAAGCTGACAGTAATCTAGTGAGACTCCCCACAGGGATAGATCGATAAAAAATCTGTGGGAATGGGGTCTTAGAAGTTTTATAATGATTAGAGAACCACTTAAGCTGCCTAATATATTGTAAGCTTGTTACAACTCGTTACAAGCTCGTTACAACATGAATGGCATCAACAAGTAAATAAGCACTTTTTAAAGTTGCACATTAAGCGTTAGACGTGATAACGAAAAAGATAAAAATGACTTTATGGCTTATTTTGATCTGATATAAAATGTACTTGCTTTCTTTCGGCGCATTTGGTAAAGTAGGCCCACAAAGAAAAAAAACTATGATCCGTTAAAAAAATTTTTGATGTTTGATTGAGTACTATTTGTAGCAGCATATGTTCTCGGATAATATTTTTTTGTTTTGACAAATGTTATGTAGAACCCTGGCTTTTATTTCGCCTTTGTCGAAGACCAAAGACCAGGTGGAGGGTCGACCTCCACCACCACCATCTTAGACCCACCTGGCCAAGCCAGGAAGATGACCGTTACCGATGGAGACAGCTCAGGGAGGGATTCCTCTACCACGGAGCAACAGTCGGCCCTGGATTGATTGTCATAATGTCTACTTTACCAAATATATTCTATGTGCACTTATGAATAGTCTGTAGGTGCGTCTCTCATACAAACATATGCCTTTCTCCCGTAGATCCTAAGAACCTGCAGTCACAGAAGGATTTGATGGCGGAGTTCCAAACCCTCTCCGAAATCTGTCCCCACCCAAATGTGGTGCAGCTCATAGGCGTGTGTACCAGGAGACTCGGAAATGATGGTAAGCTACTTTTACTTTGCCCTCCTTCATTTAGTAAATAGACCTACAAACAAATAATAAAAAAAAAAAAAACACACACACACAAAAAAAGCAAGATGGCAGAGCTACATGTACCTTTCTCAGTAAGAATATAACACAACGTTTTAGTTAGAATAAATACAACCAAGCTGATCCAAACTTTGAGAAGGTGCTCGTGTATAAACAATGTAAAAGGAAGTATTACGGAATGTCCTGTTGACAAAATTTTGTTTGCGATGATTCATAAAGGAAAGTCGTGTCAATATTTGTAATTACTTCCTGGTGCAGAAAGTTTGTGAAGTAAATATTATTACTCACTTTGAAAACAACTTTGAAAACTACTGCTAATGTTAATACATTAATAGGCTTATTTATAGAAATATTTTGTTGGAGTGGTTACTTATTCACATGGCAACACTTTTTGATAAATGCTTTGTCTTACATTGGTGTATGCATTAAAGCTATCAAACGTATTATTATTATTATTATTATTTTATTTTATTTTATATTATTTTATTTTTATTTTATTTTATTTTTTTTTTTGTGATCGATGATCACTCATATTATGATAACTAATCTAAACGGATTTTCGCCATGTTTACGACGCAGACTACCGTTGCCTGGTAACTGAAAATATGCCTGGAGGTAACCTCAAAGCATTACTACATGACTTAAAAGATGGCAGGGAGTCGTCTGTAAAACCTAAAAGCATCGGCCGCATTGCAGTCGACATACTGGCTGCAATGAAACATCTAGAGGATCAAAAGGTGAATTTGTTGAAATGCAAAGTTTATTTTGTGAGAAGTGAACATAATCTCGTTCTTTTTCCCTTTTTTGTAAGCTTTATATATACTTAACAATTTAAGTTTGCAGGACGTGATCAACATTTCCCCCTCTTCCTTTTTCATCATTTAAGCAGAATGTCGTATCGATTATTGTACTTCTTTGTTTAGGCCTGTTTGTTTTTTTAAAAAACATTGCTTGTGGTTCAAGCCCCCCCCCCTTCACCTGAAATATTAAAAAGACAATCTTTGAACTCCACAGAACCATGCTGAATGTATTGTCAATGGTGAAAAACGGCTCAACCCATATTGATCATCCATGAATATTTATCAGTCTTTACTATGGTTATCATTTGCCTGCAAATATTACTTTTTTACGAGAAAAGTGAATCTTTTTGAAAAATGACATAAAACAATTGTATATATAGGTGGTGCATAGAGATTTAGCCGCACGAAACGTTTTATTGACCTCTGACCTGAGAGCAAAAATTGGAGACTTCGGACTGTCCCGAGACACCTACCTGTGTGGTAACTACAAAATGGCGGATAGCCACGGAAAGGTAATTAATTGGTTGTATTTATCTGCATGTATTCTGTTGAATCCCATATGTGACTAAAAGTAAGGTACTTTGAAATATCTAAATCAATCATAAATTTGTTTTGCTTTAGATTTGTATTCAGCATGTTTTTCTAGTTTTGTTAAAGTTTTGTCAAATGTATTTAATGTGAATTTCAGCGGATGCCTTGGTATTGGATGGCAATTGAATCCATTGAGAACGGAGAATTTACATCAAAGACAGATGTGTAAAGAGACTTTTTATTATATAAATCGAGCCTTGTTTGTACATGTACATAGCGTATCATATTAGTCTACAGTAATGAGCAAAAAAAAAAAAAAAAAAAAAAAAAGGCCAGTCATTAAATACGATTAATCATAAATGCTTCTTTTGACATGTTTTCATTAATTTTTTACAAAGCAATATATGTTCAGATTAATACATGGATTACCTTCTAAACCGTGGTCTGCACATTTTTTCCGCCCTCTAAGCCTCCTTTGTGCATTCTGAAATTAGCTAACGTGACTTAAAATATATCGTTACTGTGATTTCAGTTGGGCTTTTGGTGTCCTACTGTGGGAGATTTGCACATTTGGATCTTTACCATATCCGGGAGTTGATCCTGTGGACCTACTTGGTCTGTTACAAAAGGGATACCGGATGGAAAAACCGATTTCCTCTTCAAAGGTACGCTTAAAGTATAAAATTTGTTGTCCGGCAAATCCGTAGTAAGTTAAAATGCACATAGACTTGTTTTTCCACAATTTATCCAAGCGTTTTACTGTTTGTTAATTTTTAACGTACGTCAAATCAAACATGCATTACCTTTTTTTAAAGGAGTGGTACTTTGTCATGACGGAGTGCTGGGATAAGGATCCAGATGCACGGCCGACATTCAGCACGCTTTATCATCACTTTAAGGAGATGTACTCTTCGAAAAAGGTAAGCCGTGAACTAGCTAGAAAATTTGAATCGAAAATTAAGAATATACTGAGATAGATCAACCCTGCGAGTACGATAACTTCTTTTCTGAACGCTGCCTACATGTATGTCTACCTCGAAAAATACCGTGCTATATTAACAGAATCAACCCTCCTTTTTAGGGATTTCCAAATTTCCCGGGGATTTCTCCACAACCGGGTCAAGCAGCATACCTGAGCATGCAGGCAGATTTATCGGCCGTTGATAAGATGGAACCTAATATTGTCTAAATCACTTATGCAATACGATACTTATGCAATACGACGCGATGAATTTTACCATAATTACAAATCCTGATTGGCTGCTCGCTTTGTAGATGATTGACTGCATCCCTCCTCGCAATTCAAACGTTTTGTTAAACCTGATCTGAACAGTGGTTAAGATGAAGGGATCCAGATGAAATGTACATATTGACTGATTCTTACGCCAAAAGTTAATATTATCATAAATTCATATAATGGCAGTATATATATATATGCATCATTATGTTATTACACGTAATTTAACGGTTAAGACAAACTTTTGAAGACTTTCCGTGGGATGAAAGATGCAATACGAGGAAAGACTAAGTCAATGCTTGAACTTTTCCAATAGCCCCCTCCATCTCTCTCTCTCTCTCTCTCTCTCTCTCTCTCTCTCTCTCTCTGTGTGTGTGTGTGTGTGTGTGTGTGTGTATTGCGTGATTTAGTTTAGAGTGAATAGTGTATAACCATTTAAGAATTATTTTATGATGAGAATATTACCGATATGATTTTAAGACGAAAGTTATGGATATTTGCATATTTGCATTTAAATCATATGGATCTTGGAAATGAGATATAAATGAAACTTTGACAAATACACTTGTGTGCGTATTTTCAGTATTTATTTTTCAGCTTCTGTACATGTGATATTGTAAATTCGTTGTCCACCGTTTGCGGTCTAGAACACGTCTGTTAAGATACTTCATGGTATATTACCACTTCATGGGATAAATGCTCTGATTTTACTGCCAAATCGACTTCATAGGATAAATTGCGACTTCATCTCCACTTAAGATATTGCCTGCGACTTCATGGAATAATGGTGAAATAGTACCTGTTGTTGGCCCAACGCTATGAGAGAGAACGTTTTTGAAATATAATGTTTTGGTACTGTAAATATTATCCAAAATAGGTAAACTGTACGTTTTGATTCACTTGTATGACTGAATAGGGTTTCTTTAGAGGTATTGGAAGCATGTTTTGAGTAATTTTTAAATACACAGGCGTATGTAGGTGAGGATTCAGTATTTCTAAAAATCATTACATTATGGGACATTATGGTCAGCGTTGAAGAAAAGGGGGTTCAGACCCCCTGGGCCCTCCCTTCCCAGATCCGCTTGATGCATAAAACTAATGGATCAGGGAAACCAGGCTATGAAAAGATAATATTACGCGTAGGTTACTGGATTATAAGATGGATAAATAAACAAATAGGAATCAATTATTAAAGATGAATAAATAGATAATAAAAAGAAGCAGAGAAGGTCGTGTATATAATTGTGCTCTACAATTATCTTGATCAAGTCGCGTCCCCCTCTGAAAAGACAAATTTTTCCATGAGGAAAGACACGCGCAAGTGTAATGATTTACATCCCTTGGTTTCCGAGATGCTCTGTTCTGGTCCTACACCTGTGAATGTCCATCATGGCGTGATCAATGGTGTTCCCGAAATGTGCCCTTGGGTGGCTCTCAATTGACCCAAAAGTATTATCTGCGGCACAGTCTGCATTTGGAAACCTGTTAATAAGGCGTTCGG